TAAAAATCTAGACATCTTGATTATTAGTCTAATCCCACTTTTCAGTAAAGCTTATTGCCTCTCATTTCAGCAAATATCACAGGTGTGGAATAAAAGGCTTTGGTTTAAGCCCTGGCTGGTATGGCTCCGTTGGTTGAGCCTCCCATGCACCAAAAGTTCACTCCTGTTGGATTCTGTCAGAGCACATGCCCAGGTTGCAGGCTCGATCCCCAGTGTGGGGTATGCAGGAGGTAGCCAAACATCGCTGATGTTTCTATCTCTCTCCCTCTCCCTTCCTCTCTGAAATCAATAAAAATATATTTAATTTAAAAAAAACAAAAACATGCAGGCTTTGGGCCTAGTTTCAGAACCTGGGCGGTGGAGGAGAGAGGCGACGGGGAGGGCTTGGGCCTGGTCTTAGGGATAGAGCCTGGAGAGAGGTCTCAGCAGCGATCCCCTCCATGGGGATGAGGGGCAGGGGGCTGGGGGCGGGCCACATACTGGAAGAGGATGTTGGCAGAAGTTCTTGTGATTGAGCCCAGAGGTTTTGGAGCTGATGGACCTGGGTTCAAATCCTAGTTACGGGACCACGGGCCAGTGCTTTCATTTCTCTGAGCCTCAGTTTCCTGCTCTGTGAAATGGAGATATCAGTGCCTACCTCCTGGGCTTATTGGGAGTTTAACAGCATGGATGCCTGTAAAGCAAGGAGCAGGCACAGAGTAAATTATTGTTGCTGGTCTTATTAACGGGCGAGAGGGGGCTCCTGCAGAGAACAGACTTGAGCAGTGGGCCCCAGCTGGTGTTGACATCCAGATCCGGGTGAAGGGCTTTGGGTCTCAGCCCTTCACCTGAATTTGGGAGGACTGATTAAGCTGACAGCATGTGGTCTGAAAAGGAGAAGCCAGGGCAGCTGGCTTCCAGGATATTGGGGGCAGAGGGTACCTCGGGGACCCATTTCTCAGACGGGATCACAGAGGCCTGGAGAAGACCCAGTACCTTGTCTCCTAACAACCCCACAAGAAACACCTTTCCTCCTCCTGGTCTGAGTGCAGAGCTTCGGCTAAGGTATGGCTAGTGCTTCCTCCTGTCTCTCCAACAACCACCTACCCCACCCCCAGTGTCCCTGGGATTTGAAGGCTGCAGGATGAGAGGGTTGTGGACCCCCCCTCCTCCACAGGCCTCCAGGGGCGAAG